CCAAGTTAATTGGTACCAAGGAGCAATGGGAACTGGAGTCCAACAATATGTGGGGAAGCACATATGCCTCTTTAGCCATGTACTAATCAGTGAAATGTTTTAAAGTACCCAGATGTTCTTGGACTACAGCCAGAAATCCTGGCCAGTACAGCTGGTGATGAAGGCTTCTGGGAGTTTTAGTCCAAGAACCTCTATGGATCCAAGCTTGGGAACCACTGTTAAAGCATCTGCTGGTCATGGAACAGGGGTTTGTTTGTTTGGACTGTAACCCTCAGAATTTCCAGCCATGAATGGCCAGTGCCCATTCCTACTGAGGAATTCTATAAGTTTTCCATCCTCAAAAGTAAATAATCCAAGTGCAAGTAATTGGCCAGGGTAGAAAGAATTGTCACTTAATTCTCGTATCTTAAGACCGGAAATGCGTGGAAATGGTAATAAAGGGAGGTGAGTCCTCTATTAACAGGGAATATTATGGCAAAGATCAATTATACAAAAATTTAGAAAATGTCAACTTTGAGAGGAAAATACAAGTAGTACTAAACAATCCAATCAAAGAAGTAATAATTTAATAAGCTGCTGCTAGGAATGGAGGTTTTATTGGAGAATTTACTTTTCATCTTTTTAAAATGTAATTTAAAATTGTTCAAAATGATTTTATTTAGTAATTTTAATTATCAATATTCTTAATTGTTTTCCTAATATTGTAAAGTATTGTATTTTCTATTGTCCCACTGCAGCGTTTTAAAGTGTTTTTGTATGCTGCCTTGGATATCTCTTAGGAGAAAAGTGGTATATAAATTAAGTAAGTTTTTTTAAAGCAAAATAAATGTCTACTTAGACATAATCCCCACTAGGTTCAGTTGGACACACTCCCAGGTATGTGCCTATTGGACTCTAGCCTTAACTTTTTGGTCCTTAAACCAGGCCTCTGAATAAGAAATGAAGCAATAGTTTATAGCAGAATTACATAATGTGTTTAGTTATGTCAGGAAGCCATTGGAATGGCCATACATTCCAATGCACAGAGAGATGAGTTTCTTTTAAATAAAACCAATAACAATCATTCTTAAGAATGGCTGCAATCCTGTGGACACATTTGTTTTAAAATACATTCTGCTCAAAAGGTAACTGTAATAAGAACGCTTAGAACTGGGGTGTTAAGTATTTCGTTGTGTGTGTTTTCTCATCTACGGAAATGGTACCAATGTGTAGCTGATGTATAATAATTGGTGTTCTAATACTCAAGCGTGCTGTAAAAGAGTCTGCCTCTTGTCATGCAAGAGTGGCCATGGACTTGAGTCAACATGCTGTGAGGCCTCCAAAAGCCGTGCCATTGCCAGATGAGGTATGTGTGGGCCAGTCTGTAAAATGTCTCAGGCATGTCATTCTTAAGAAGAAAAAAGAGTTGATGAATTTAAAAAAAAAGTCTTGTAAAAATATACCTAATATTGAGTATTACTACAAGACTGACGAATTCTAGAATCCAGGATATGATCCTCTAGAGAGAGATCATACCCTGGATTCTCAAATTCACTAGTTATTAAAAGAGTGTTGACTGGCAAAATGCAAACACAGAACAAAATAACAGCAAAAATGGCAGGTTAATATATGAGGAATGTATTTCTGGTCATTAGCAAGAATCCAACAGTGTTCAACATATTTCCTCCAAACCCAAGAGTGCTTATTAGTCACTCAAGCAAAGAGTGTGTTAATGGGTGCCACTATAAATAGAGGAACATTTTTTAAAAAACTTCTGGTTCTGAACTCTGCTACATTGCCTTTTATGATATACATGGTTTCAGTAGCTTGTGAAACATTTTATAGAATTCCACAGCAATGTGCTGAAATACCAAATGCTGTAAACTATAAACTGGATACCTATAGAACTTTATCGCAGCAACCAAAGCATCAGTGTTTCAGCATCCCTATAATAGTAGCTCAGGATACTGAAAATTGGACTTCCTAAATACTTTGTTCCTCTCAGTGGGGATCAGAACTGTTGACAGAATAAACTAGCCTGGCTGTTTTTTAAAAAAAGCAGCTTTGTCTGAAATAGCCATATAGATGACACAATACTTTGTATGCAGTCAGGTGCCACCCTGTCCCATGGTTTGGACTGCTTTGAGAACACGCTGGTTTGTTGCATTTTCCAGTGACTGCGTGACATTCTGGTAATCACAAACCAGCCCAACTCTTATCTGTGCCTTCCTCCACCTTTCTGGATCCCTAAACCTTGGTTCTCCACCCAATGATGGAGAAAAACACTTATGCAGAATGGATTTCTTTTAACGAATTGATACCAAATTTGGTGCAATCACAGTGTGGTTTGCTACAAGTCTAAAATCAGATGAGAAGGGTAACACAGATAAATTAACACTCCTCAGTATGTGTGTTTGAATAGAACCAGGAACATTGAACTCGCACCCAAATCCGACAAAGCTAATATTACACCAAACTCTTAAACTGGAGATCTGCAGCTCTTGACCCCAACCACAGATGTCCCCATTCATGTTTTCCCACAGCTCAGCTGATAAGTAGGACTGCAGGAAAAAGACCAAGATAATGATCCGAATTGGGGTTTGTAGGCAGGATAAGGGAGGCTTTTCTCACTTTTCTCACACAGAGACCATAGTCTCTGTGTAAATAGGCATAGAACAGAGTACCATATTGTATGTATTTTCGGTGATAATGAAGGAGTATCATTGCCACAGTTGTAGAATAAATCGGCAAATTTCTATCAGGCTCAATATAAGCCATCAGTTGTACATAGTGGCTCACCTGGTTTTGCCACTCTGGGCAGGCAAGTGAAAAGCAGGATGTTATTAAAACATCTGGTGGGCTGCCTCCAGGTTACTGTAGTTGTTAAAAGTTGTGTAGCTTTCCTCTAAGAGTTAAAATCTTTCTGCGTCAAAAACATTAGGTCAGTTGAGCCTTTTCAATGTAGCCAGACTGCCCTCATGAGGCTTGTGTAGGCAGTGTAAGTCTTTTGCTGGATGAGAAACAAAAGAATATGTTGATGCTTTTCCCCAGTTTTGTCAGAGGCAGAAAGCGTGAAAGTTTTCTCAAGAAATTGTCATCCTATGTGTCCTTGCATGTGGTTATTATCTGTTAAGGTGTGCGACATTCAGTGCACAGTGGCCAAATCCTGTTAGCAAGGCACACACACACAATGGAATAACATTTGCCGGCAAATTTCCTGAAGACGAGAAATCATCATAGCCATTATTTGTTGTCTACCAAGTAATGCAATTTGGTGTCTAACGGATGTCCATGCTGATTTCTTGGGGGAGATCACCTCCAAAGTTTACATTCAGTGGTGTAAAACTGGTTAATTATATCAGGGTTTAGCTCTGCATTTTGATATTTAGCAACACCTGTTTTTGTAACTTGCTTGTTGTAGCATACAATAAGTCTGACTTTTCAAACAGTGTTACTCTTTGCTGAATGTGATGGAGCAGAACTACCCTGGCTACCACTCTCAAACTTAATACAGTAGCCCTTCTTCCTCAAGGACTTAAATCATCTAGGAACCTAGTACATAAACATAGGAAAACAGTTGTCCTTAACAGTTGATCCTTGCAACTGTACAGTTCCTAATGTGTTTAGACTCGGTTGCAGACTCACTTTTGGAACAGAAAAAGATTCAGAAGTCAAGGTCCCGCTGCCATTACCAGCCAGCCATAACAAAACTGGCATCTGGGAACTAAAATCATATTGCAGGCAGATAGTACCACATATTGCTGGCAGATAGAATAAACCCTAAAATATGGAGATTATTATGTGCTGCATATGTGACTTAAATTTTGGTTCCCTTTTCTGTATACAGTATGTTACAGATACCCACCTTTAGACCTCGAAACATAATAGTTTACTAGAAACATTATTCAGGCAATCTTTCCTGTCTGCAAAATCAGATGTGCAAACAATTTGTTTATGTTCTGTAGAATTGGGTGGGCTAATCTGCAACTTCCAGGAGATAAGAAAAGCTCTTGCTGTGACAATCACTAATCTCATAATTGGGTGGGCTAATCTGCAAATTCCAGAAGATAAGAAAAGCTCTTGCTGTGACAATCACACATTTGAATTTAGAGATGATGACCTATTGCCAATAATGCATAGTTTGACCTCTTGGGTCTTTTATCATTCCGTCCTATTGTTTGTTTGAACAGCTAATTAAAGTCTTCTGTCAGCTCCTATTCATCCCCAACGTCCATGCCCTGCTAAAGGTATTTTTATAGGCAAAATGGTGGGTTCCCTTCTCTAGACTTCCAGTTCTTTAGCATTTTAATTGCACTCTGTAATCTACTGATTTCCTTTTTTATATGAAGGAGAATGTGGCCATTTTCTATCCTTATACTATCCTTTCATACACTGAAGAATAGAATAACCAGCAAATTCATACCATTGGGCAGATCCAACAGCACCCACAGAATGATGTAATCTAGTGTATGTCTTACAGATCGAAATGGAGCAATAACATTAAACCATGGTTGTGATAATATATCTAAAGTTACAGTACAGTATTCATCCACACACAAAGAAACAAAGCTGTGTGGTCCCAGTATTCATCAACACACAAAGAAACAAAGCTGTGTGGTCCTTACAGAAAGTAAATACAGGAGAGGTGATACTTTTATTAGACCATTTTAAAAAAATCAGGTTTGAAATCACAGACGCTCCCGAAGGCGATTTGCAGCCAGCGGTTCAACTCACCTTAAGAAACACACCAGGGAGACTTCTGTCACGACTTTTGGGAGTCTCGTTTATAATTTTTTTCTGCAATATTAATGCATGACCTGAAGAAGTAGACTTGACCCATGAAAACTTGCTGGTTGTTTGGTTTTTGTTTAATGGTGTAATGAAGGTATAATCTCTGCTGCATTTATATGGTATTAATCAAATGATTGTTGGCAGAAGGTTTTCTTCCTGTAGGACACTGACTTCTTCTGGAGCCTAGGTATACCAGCACACTTGTAAGCTATCTTCAGGTCTGTGTTTGTTGGCAGAAGGTTTTCTTCCTGTAGGACACTGACTTCTTCTGGAGCCTAGGTATACCAGCACACTTGTAAGCTATCTTCAGGCTGGTGAGTAAACACAAAGTTAATCAGAGTGTTTAAGCATATCCAGATAACTATGCTTTCAGTCACATCTCCCCAGTATTGGCTCACCTGCACTGATTATCTGTTGCATCCTGGACCAGATTCAAGGTCTTGATGCTCACCTATATACAGTACATGGTTTAGGAAACATGTTACCTGTCCGAATGTCTTTCCTCAAAGTCATCTACCCACTTTGTGAGGTCCTCCCATGCCATGTATCTCTGAGTAGTCGCTCCAAAGAGGGCCAGGAAATCCTCCATTCGAAATAGGGCCTTCTTGGCTGTGGCACCAATACTCTGGAAGCAACGTCCAGTAGAGCTGCACCTTGCTCCCTCCCACCCCACATGTAAAAGGCACTTTAAAACACTGCTTTGCAGAGAAGCCTTTTTCGGCAACTCTGCCTGATGCAGGGTTTTTTCTCTTCTTGATTCTCCTGTTTGATCGTTGTTTATATGTCCTGTTTTTTATTTGTACAATTTGCGCCTCTTGAAGTTTTTTGTCGTTTAATTGCCTGTTTAATATATTATTATGATTATGTTTTTCCTTTCTGTAAACTTTCCAGAATAGTGCATGATACTAATGGGGCAGTATATTAAACAAACAAACAAACAGGGGACTCAAGGGACAGTGCAACACCCCCATGGATCTTTCATGTTAAATCTACCATTCACATGTCATGATTAAAAGCAGGGAAATAAAAAGAAAAACTAAGCACACAAAGGAGACTGTTTTCTTTGCTCTAGGCACAAACTTTCATTTCCTTCCCTGCTGCAAAGTTGTTAATTAAATCATCAATATCTTGTGGCCACAGGATCACTAAATTCAGATCCAGGGAAGAGGAAGTGAGGGCAGGGGAAAAGGATGGAAAATATAAAACAGCAGGCTTGCTGCACAGAATCACAGAACTGGAAGGTACCTCAAAGGTCACTGAGTCCCCTCCCATGCAGAAGCAGGAAATCCATTCAGCCTCTGTTTAAGAGCCCACCTATTCTCCATTCACAAACTTCCAATGAGGGAAAGTTCACCACCTTTTGAAGTAATCCATTCCATTGTGGAACAGCTTTTATTGCTGCAAAGATTTTCCTAATGTTTCGTTGAAATTTTCCTAATGTTTAGTTGAGAGCACGGAGTGCTGTCCTCTGAAGACACCGGCCACAGAGACTGGCGAAACGTTAGGAAGAACAACCTTCAGAACACGGCAAAGAGCTCGAAAAACCCACAACAACCTTTAGTTGAAATCTCCTTTTTTGTGATTTGAGTTCTACGTTCATAGATTTGACTGAGCAAAGGACAGAAAGTTATGCCAGTTTTTCCTGGCTGTACTTAAGAACAGAAATTCCATGCCCAGGAATTTCAAAATGCATCTTTGCACATTTATTCATCCTCCCATTCTTACAGTGTGGATTTTGACAGGACAAACATCTTAAAACATGATCTGCTTACTATACCTGAATAATGCCAGTACAGACCACAAGACCTGGTGTTTTGATAGTCAGTTATACCACCATCCCCTTCCTCCAGAGTTCCATCGTAAGGGCCTCCCTAGAATTCTCGTAGTGCTTGTCCTCTTTGTGAGGTATTGTAAGGTCCTGCTTGTAGACCTTCCTGACTACATGGCCCTTAAGATTTTAGAGGAAGTTGGAGTCCCACTGCTGTGGACTCCCAGAAGACCATTATACACCTCCAGTAACCTTCAGTTTCTCTATTAAGATTTTAGAGGAAGACCACTATACACCTCCAGTAACCTTCAGTTTCTCTTTATTTGTTTCTTTGTTTGATCAGGTAGCGTATGAAAAGATAATCTGTAAACTTTTGGGAAATTTTAGAATGCTAGTGATAGTGTAGGAGGGAGGAAAATTAGGGGAACTTCATGTTTAGGGACTTGGTTTAGAAGCAGGGATCCCTCTGTCAATCCTTTAAGAGTTCTCAGTGACATGAGGAATTTGGGAGTTCAAATTTGTCTGTCTCTCCATGAAAGTATTTTGATGCACCACCCTTTTAGAGATCAACTATATATGACTGATTCTGGCTCTGTCATCTATATAAATAGGAACATTTTATCTTAATTGTGACAACAGTAATAATGTGTTTCTCTGATTCCACTACATGCAATGTTCAGAAAAGCTTTCAAGAAAGTACAACTTCAGTGCAACTGTTTTTTTTTTCAATTTTTGCAGTCCAATTACATCTCACTGAAAGTCATTCTCTCTCCAAAAGAGTATTATTTTCTCTGATAGCAGAGAATGAATTAAACTTAGCAAGACTTGTGAATCTACCAAAAAGGGTAATATATTTGTGAACTTCACCTATTACAATTTGCTTTGTAAATATATATTTGTGTGAATGTGTGACTCTTTGGTATGGCTCTGCAGCATGTTGTACAGGCCAAGAAACTGGCTTTCCTTGGACAGTCTGTAAAACTAAGCATCTTTCATTATCAATACTTTGCTGGGGTATCACTTTTTGCCTACAAACAAAATTCCAAATAGGCAGCCTTTTTACTGATCAAGCCATAACATCTCAAGCACACAATGACCTGCCATTAAGTACATGATGACACACATGGCATCATTTCATAAGGAAGATTCCATATATAGTCATGCTTTCATTTGACATTTACTTTGTCTGTTCTAATGTCCTAGGAATCCAGGTCATTTGAATTTGTACACTGTTTTACTGTGTCTATTTTATGCAAGTGTGTAGTAAATAACTGGAAACTGCTAAGTGCATGTATTGTATCATAATTTCTATAATGGAAATTTCGAAGTCTGTTTTCTTTTCACTGTTATCAATGGAATATCTCTCAGGGACTTGGATGCATCTTGAGATCGAGCCAAAAAGCTCCCAGTAGAACCTGGGTTTCCTACTGACATATTGCCAGACTTGGGCTTTATATATTAACATTTCCAAAATGATGCTATAGTTAGATTTTCCATCAAAGTAACCTATTACCCGGTTTGTTGCTTAAAACATGAAAATCCAATCACATGATAGGGGAAAAAAATTGAATAACCAAAGGCAAGAGAAATTGGTGTTCTTTTTTATCTGTGCTGGAAAATATTTCTATTATTTCTATTATTACTATTATTTTTATTATTATTATTATTATTATTATTATTATTATTATTATTATTATTATTGAAACCACAATGTAACACCACTTACACTCAGTTACTACAACTTGGGAAGTTCACTTTTGGTATATGTTCTGTTTACTGGTCACATTGTTTACTTCATGCTAAACAATGCTGGCCCACAGGTTTGTTACACAGGTTATGTATATGTATATAACATACAATGGTGCCTCGCTTAACGATTGCTTCGTTAAACAAAAAACTGCTATACGATGAACACCGCTAAACAATGTTCTAATAGGAAAAATTCGCTTTGCGATGATCGGTTCCCTGCTTCAGGAACCGATTCTTCGCATTACGACAATTTTAAAACAGCTGATTGGCAGCTTCAAAATGGCCGCCCGCTGTGTAAAATGGCTCCCCGCTGTGTTTTTAGATGGATTCCTCGCTTTACAGGCAGTGAAAATGGCCGCCCCTATGGAGGATCTTCGCTGGACAGTGAGTTTTCAGCACATTGGAACGCATTAACCGGGTTTTAATGCATTTCAGTGGGCTTTTTATTTTCACTTAACGAGCATTTCACTCTACAGCGATTTCGCTGGAACGAGGCACCACTTACATGTAAGCAAAGCAAAATCAAGCTGGGAAATGTTGGATAGGCAGTAGTCTTTGAAACGTTTCCAGGCAGCACAACATACGATAGTACTGAAGCTCAGCACATTGGGGGAAATGTACGAGATCTGAGCTGTGCAGAGCAGCTCAGATGGACACCTGCTACACAGCAGTGCTGGATAGAACAGAGGGACTCAGGCTGTAACAGAAGCACCAGGGCTGCTACCTCAGCACCATGAAAGTGTGGGTCATGAGTAGGCAGCAACATACAGACTGATATTTTATTACCCACATCTAGAGTTTATAGAGTCATAGAATCATGAAATCAGAAAGAGCCTAAAAGGCCAGTGAGTCCAACTCCCTGCTCAATACAAATCAAAGGATATTTGCCAGGCGGTTGTCTTGAGATCAAGAGAGTCTTCTCTTGAATGCCTTAAAGTCATTGATTCTATTGTTGAACTGCTCTAACAGGAGGGTTTTCCTGATATTCAACTGAAATTGGGCTTCCTGTAACTTGGACCCATTGTTACGTGTCCTGCACTCGGGAATGACTGAGAACAGATCTTGCCCCTCCTCTGAATGACCACCTTTCAAGTATTTGAAAAGTGCTATTGTATCTCCCCTCAGACTTCTTTTCTCAAGGCTAAACATGCCCAGTTCTTTCAGTCTCTCCTCATAAGGCTTGGTTTCCAGCTCACTAATCATCCTTGTTGCCATCCTCTAAACTTATTCCAGTTTGTCAGCATCCTTCTTTAAGTGCAGTGCCCAGAACTGGACATAGTAGTCAAGATGCGGCCTATCCAGTGCCAAATAAAGGGGAACTAGTACCTCACAGGATTTGAAAATTATATTCATGTTGTTTAGTTGTAAAGTAATTGCGGACTCTTCGTGACTCCACGGACCAGAGAACACCAAGCCCTTCTGTCTTCCACTGCCTCCCGGAGTTGGGTCAAATTCATGTTGGTAGCTTCGATGACAGTGTCCAACCATCTGATCCTCTGTCGTCCCTTTCTCCTCTTGCCTTCACACTTTCCCAACATCAGGGTCTTTTCCAGAGAGTCTTCTCTTCTCATGAGATGGCCAAAGTATTGGAGTCTCAACTTCAGAATCTGTCCTTCCAATGAGCACTCAGGGTTGATTTCCTTCAGAATGGATAGGTTTGATCTCCTTGCAGTGCAGGGGACTCTCAAGAGCCTCCTCCAGCACCACAATTCAAAAGCATCAATTCTTCAGTGGTTAGCCTTCTTTACGGTCCAGCTCTCACTTCCATACATCACTACTGGGAAAACCATAGCTTTGACTATGCAACTTTTGTCGGCATAGACAATGTTAATGCATCCTTGTGACAGTTGCTCCACATCACTCCTGTCACTCACAGTCTGGGCCTCATTTGCATGAGCCTATGAGAGTGTGGAGGGGTGGAGTAAGCAGAATATAAGAAGGTGGCAAGGAGAAAATGAAATAGGTAGAGAGGGAAGCAGAGAAAGAAGCTGAGAGAGATAGAGAGATAGTCAGTGAGAGAGTGAGAAGAAATAATAGTAGAGATAAGCTGGTCCAGATAGATAGAGCAAGTGGTGACGGTGGCAAAATATATGATATTTGAATGACTTGATTATATGCTTTGAATAAATAACATATGTGATTCTGATTAAAGTCAACACCTTTCAATAAATCAGTTCTGTTGGCAGCAATCTGACAAGTGTCTGAATAAAGTTCTTTATATGTTGTGGATAAAGGAAATCCACTGGTGGCAGTGAAAAAAAAGGGGAATGTCCCAATTGTTATATGCTGGTGGGAAGACATAGTGTGAGCCCTTGGTTTGGGGGAAACAATCTGGGGTTACATGTTAAACATCAGAATCCTAAAATAGCATATGTCTTTTTCATAGCCACATCACACTGCTGGCTCATATTAGCTTGTGATCTACGATGATTCCAAGACCCTTCCCATTCGTAGTTTGGGGAAAACAATCTGGGTTTACATGTTAAACATCAAAATCCTAAAATAGCATAGCCACATCACACTGCTGGCACATATTAGCTTGTGATCTATGATGATTCCAAGACCCTTCCCATTCGTAGTATTGCTGAGCCAGGCATTCCCCATCTCGTAACTGTGTGTTTGGTTTCTTTTTCCTAGGTGCAGTGCATTGTATTTATCCCTGCTGAATTTCATTCTGTTGTTTTCAGCCCGGTGTTTAAGCCTATCTAGATCATTTTGAATGTTGTTTCTGTCTTCCAGGGTGTTAGAAATTCCACTCAATTATGTGTTATCTGCAAATCTGATTAGCATTCCCTGCACTCCCTGATCCAGGTCATTAATAAAAATATTGAATTGTTATTCCTTTAGTCCACGCAAAACCTTACAACCTTTTATAAGAGGAGCAGTTTTATTTTCAATGATCTGTTTGTTATTTTTAAGAAAGCAATCTGCATCCAAGGAGTTCAGTGCCAGCACCAACGCTTCAATAAAATAAAATAAAATGTGTTCTGTGCACTATATACTGTTCTGCAGTTTATATGAAGAATGAATGTACTTTATGGTGAAGGCACATGAGATTCTTAGCCAAGGACATTCAATGATGAGCCTTTTATTAAGGTCATAATAAGAAATGTCATGCC